AAAGGGGAGCACTGCTAATATTACCACGAGAACAGCCCACGGAGCGAGGAATCCAACTCCTCAGAGAGAATTAAATGCTCGAAAGAAAACATGCTCACAATAACCCTCAATGGTGAGGGGAGCGATACTTCCAAGTGTGTCAAATTAGAGACACACTGGTTGAGTGGAGCCCAAGGCAAGTACCGGGGTCTAAGCCAACTCACAGAAAAGGAACGAGGCTAATAATGCATAACCCTTACTATACAGGATTTCAGAAAGTGCGCAGAGTCTTAGCGTGCACACTTACCACTATGTGGATTTCAGAAAGTGCACAGAGCTTAGCGTGTGCACTTACCATAGCATGGATTTAAGAGCTTCCCAAGCATCTGCTCACAGATGCCCGGAAGTACTGAGCCAAACAGGAGTGACAAGCTCAAAGATAACCCTCTGATACGAGGGGAGCACTGCCTGAGACAGCATTACACAAGAAGGTTCTCGCAAATGCCACCTATACTTCCCGCTCGATGCCTCAGCAAGAGGGGATATCCTGGTGACCAGGAAGCCCCTCAGGGCGACCTAGATACGGCGTACCAGACAGGGCAGCCTGAAAGCATAAGCCCAGCCCGGACGTCCAGGAAATTTTGCAGTGCCGTGCCGGGGGCCTGATGATCAAGAAGACTGTAATGCAGGAAGTTCCAACCTAACCTCGGTCAGGTGGAGAGATGGTTGTTACAGGGGAATTAGGAAGGGGAAGATAAGGGTAGCCTTCTGTGCCCATCTCTGATCCTCAGACCGAGACGGGCCAGGACCCCTGGGTTGTTCGGGCTCAGACCTGGACCTTCGTGGAATTAAGGATTTGAAGGCCGCTGAGCGCGCCTTCGCCTGCCTGAACTTCTCAACTACCGTCTCGTCGGAAGTACCGAAAAGCTCGGAAGGCAAAACCGGAGCATCAAGAAGAAAGCCCCTCTCTTTCTAATAGCCGCTTTCGCGCATCCCCTCGATGTTGGCATTACTCGTATGCTGGAACCGATGGATGCGTGAGGAAAACGGCCTCTTCCATTCCTTCTCAATCTCTGTATGGAGATCAGGAAGAAAAGGAAGGCTCACCTGAGCTGGAGGGCTATGGTCAGAAAGATAACGCTCATCAAGACGACCTCGCGACGTCACTTTCTTGGCCCGCTTCCGTGGCGCGATCCATAACCTCCAATAGCTCATCATACGCAGGGCAGGAGGATTGGGAGGGCTCAGCCTCAGCTTCTTCGCCCTCCTCAGACATCTCCTGCTCTTCCTGGGCCGAACCCAGCAGAGCACTGGCCCCTGGATCAGACGATGTTAGGGAAATAACATCATCCTCCAGCGGCTCACTCTCGTCCACAGCCGACGAGCGCGAGAGGGAAAGCCCCTCTTTAACCTCCTGGGGTCGACGGTGGCGCCTGCGCCACCACGTGCATGTTTTACTGATAAGAGCAAAAAGAACTTAAAATGCTCGTTCATTTTTGTTTGTACACATAAGAGTAATACACCATTCGAATCTGTAAAGGGTCTACTTTTATTTATGTACACTCACAATAACAACAAAACATTGTGTTTTTGTTAAATAAAGAAAATAAACAGGGTGTGCGTTCAGCTTTCTCAGTCTCCGCGAATATCCCTCTAAAACGCGTCAGTAAAATAAACCAAAACTCAGCGAAGACTTGACATAGAGACATGAGAATTATATCTATGGAAAGCTTGAGATGTCTACTTTTAAATGAAGCAAGTCAAAACGAAAACAAATATTCTCAGTTTATGTAATCAATATGAAACCAAGGACAGGTACAGTTTCTCCGTCTCACTTCATTATCTGATAATGACCTGAGGCGGGACACGCCCACACGCTATTCACAGGGAGAATAGTTCGGTGATTCACCTACGAGGCACACGCCCCCCGGGCAATGCGATAAAAAAGATCAAGTTTCCACAGTTTCTTTCTTTGACTTTTCTACGCATTTGGAAGATGGCACGCTATTCATGCAAGGAAGCTCTGGAGTTGATTTTGGACAGTGATGAAGAATTTACCGTTTCCTCAGAAGAAGATTGCGACTCCGACGACGAACGGTTGTATTTTGAGGAGAGAATTGATCCAGCTGAGGATTTTCCAGCAAGTTGTTACGATCTAATATAGCTTGAATAGTAGCTAATTTTTTTATTTTTATTTGGTGTTTATTTAATGTTAATTGCTATGCTAATAAATCAAATAAAGAGTTTTATACATTTAATTTGAATACATGTGTGTTTTTATGTAGATGTGAATTTAATGTTCATTGCTAATAAATCAAATAAAGGGTTTTAATCATTTAAGTTTAATACATTTGCACTTTTATTTTATTTAATTTTGATTTAATTTAATTTAATGTTTATTGCTAATAAATAAAAAAGAGTATTAAACATTGTGGTGGTAGTACATTGTAGTAGCTGTATATTCTACTACATTTTATATTCACTATATGAATATAAAACTAAGTATAAAACTAAATAAATATAAAAACTAAAACTAAGTTCCATTACATCTGTAGAAGATCATGTCCTAAAATGCTACACCAGAGCATCCAATGTATTCAATGTGCTTCTCTAGAACTGTTACACTTGTATTCATAACAGAATATCATATTAACATAAATGACGGTATTCAAGACAGTAGCAATTTCATATTCCTGTGAATGCAATCCAGGGATAGCTCTCTGCTTGCTACTGGCTATATTTAGTCAAATGAAGCACAAACATCTAAACCGGTTCAGACAAATAGACGGTGATTCTGCTGGCATAAAGAATAACATAATTTAGCGAGCACATAATATTGCTACACAGGTGTATAGCAAAGAGAGCATTATTTTAGTAACACAAGGCAAAGGTTGAGGGATCACAGGAAAAGTACATCTCTCTTTTTTGTGCCATTGTCAGAGCCAGAATGTTCCACATGAGTGCTAACCAGGGCAACCATTCTAGCAATTACCGAACGCAGTGTACCTCAGCAGATATTCATCTCAGGCATTTGTGCCTGTGATGAGCAAGAAACCATCTGTGCTCAGAAAGTAATGAGGACGTTTGAAAGACTAAGCCAGGAGGATAACCGACATACACGGACAGAGCTTTTCTTATCTCAGCAGTCTCAGGACAGTGTTCAGGGCTTTTCTCTGGTACATTACTTTGCCCTTTAAATTGGCTGGCTTTTGCTTTCAAGCTTGGGAAGCATGAAGATGGGTGCCGTTTTAGAAAGAACAACAGTGCCCTTGGCTGAAAGAGTCTGTTCTAGAGCAAAGTGTTCAAGCTCGGGTAGCAGAATGCATGCAGCTGGATTGTTTCCAGCAAACAAGTTCAGATTTCAAGCTTTGGTATACTCATGAGGAGACTTGCATACGTCGTGTTACATTTCTCAGTGCACATTGACTCTTGGCTGCAATAAAAGCAGAGCTACAGGATTTATTGTTTGGTACAGGATGCCGGTACTCACCTCATCACTTTCTGTTTCTTTGACAAAGAATGCCTCTCCATTTTCACCTAGTTTCATGTGTAAGCTGACCGGCTCCCCATTTATCTCAATGTCAACCTGAGGAGAAAGGGAACATGGAATGCTGTCACTATAATAAAGGCAATTTACAACAGTAAGCCATGTGCAACACAAGGCCAATGACAATGCTAATTTTATCCCATCTTCAAACAACAACTTCAAAGAGTATATTTATGTCCATGGCTTTGATATAATAATATATTTTAACTGATATGTCTCCAGACATTCTGGACATTGGACAGAATAAAAATGAAAATTCGGAATCATTTACTCATATTTACATGGTTCCAAACCCATAGTTCAATTCAGTTCACATTTATTTGTATAGCGCTTTTCACGATACATGTTGTTTCAAAGCAGCTTTACAGAAAATTAATGTTTCTGCGTTACAATTAAGAGTGATCTGTTATCAGAGGTGACTGTGTCAAAGCAATGTCCATATGGCAGAAATGTGGATTAAACAAATCATGAGAATTTTGTTCATCCTCAGAACACAAATGATATTTTATATTTTTAAAATATTATCTTATCCTTTTTGTCCCTTCATTTAAAGTCCACACAATCAAAATTTTACACATCAAAAAGTACAAAAATACATTGTAAAAGTAATCCATTTGAACTGAGCAGTTTAATCCAAGCCTTCTGAAGAGACTGGATCACTTTATATGATGAACACATTTCATTTAGGCTTTTATTTACATATGACCACTGATCAATGCACATACATAGAGGACTTCAAACATGGTAAACGGAAGCCTAAACGGATGCTGGACTTGGTTGATGCATGATAACAACCCTAATTGAGCATGTTTACATGCATACCAATGGGCTGATATAACTACCAAAAATCAGTTTATTGCGTTAACCTGATTTACTGGTTTGCATCCACATCAATAGCCTAGCAATGCAAGTAAACATTGTTTACAAGACTGTATTAAAAATCAGATTATTCCCAGGTGATGACGTCTATGTCAGGATTATGGACCTGTTTTGGTGTGTTTTCCCTCCCCATGTGCTCCGTGACCCAGTTTATTCCTTGTTTGATTTGGTTTCATGTGATTCAGGTGTGTCTTGTCAATTGTCCTCATTACCCCATGTATTTAAGTCCCAGTCTGTGCATTCTGTCTTTGTCGGGTCTAACAGTGTGATGTACGTGTGTCTTCTCCTGTTCCTGGTTTGGATTGCCCCTCGTGTGGATTCATTAAAGACTGTTTATTATAATCTATATCTCCGTCGTTCACTCCGACACAGTGCGTGACAGTCTAAGTGTAAGCATCTGTTTGTGATGTTAAAGCATTAAAAACCCCAGAGTATTTGAAATGTCAGCAGGAAACTTGAACAGACTTATTCTACAAGTTTCTACAACTGTACCACCTGTCCTTTGGTTGCTCGTGACGAGAATAATTTTTTTATATTTGGTTACACTTTATTTTATGTGTCCTTGTTACAGTGTAATTATACATTTAAGTACTGAGTAATATTTATTAACTACATGTACTTACTATGGTTAGGGTGAGGGTTAGAGTTTGGCTTAGGGTTACTTGCATGTAATTATTCATAATTAATTGTTATTATAATAGTAAGTACATGTAACATGTGTAACAAGGACACCTTAAAATAAAGTGTTACCTTATATTTCTTGGGTCAAGAAAAATTCAGAGTTTGCGATATAATTTCCCCCTCCTCTAGCGCAAATCACTTGCTGTGGATGGATGGTCCACAGCAGGTGGATGCAGGTTAAGGTGTTTATATGCTGGACGAAATGGGTAAATATCTAGCTGTGTCGAGTTTACGACCTTATGCCACCAGTTTACCATAGTTACATGACCACATGCTTTGCTACAAGCATAATTGGTTTAAGAACGTGCATGTGAACACACTCATTGGTTCTTGCAGAAGCTCGAATATGCTTGTGTGACACATGACCTCAAAAGTAAATAATGAAAGAATATTATTTTTAAGGGGTGAAAAAACCTTTTAACACAGCAGATGAATCAGTGAAATGGTAAGCTACAAAAATATGGTAAATCTCATATGCTGCCACCCTAAAGCATGTCTGTGCTAGTGCTTACCACTTTCTCCCGGGAGCGCAGAACTCCCATCTTGCCGAAACGGACATGAAAAGGCGAACACTGCAGAGTGCCGTCAGGCTGACGCACCACAATTACATCGATACAGCCGGACAGGGTGGCAGGGTTAAGTCCTCTGTACAGCTCCTTCACCTGCACAAAAACCTGACCGGCTAGCTGGCCCACGTAGTTCATGGTCTGACTCTGAAATAGCGAGAAGTCAAGCTTTTAAAGGCAAGCATGAAACTACTCAAATCAATACCTTAAAATAATCCAAAAAATGTCCCTTATTGTTTTATTATGTTCCAATTATTATGTTCTGTGTTGCTCTTTTACATGTAACAAACAATTTTCTATTAATAAACAAGTACTTGATCTTTTTATCGTTAAACCAAGCTATATAATTCTCTGTGAACTTCAGCACTACAATTAATAACTGTCTGTGTGAAAGTGCAGAGGCAAGTGTGTAAAGGCAAATGTGATGTTGATGAGCCACCTTTGTGTGTTTAGTGAGTATGATAACACTCAACATCTCTATAATAAACAGTCCTCTAGGATTGTGCAAAATTTTGCAGGCCTAATGGAAAAGAAAAAACCTGTAGAGTGAACTAGGTCTAATAAAAACATGCTGTCTTGCTCAACTCAAGCCCAGATCTCTTTGGCAATTTAGGTGAAAGGTAAAATATCATAGAACCCCTTAAGACTGCAAGCAGTAGATAGAATGACATTGCTCAAAAAAGGATTACAAGTGGTGTTCCTCAAGCATTGCCAAGGGTTTAATAATGCCTGGTTCTGGCATGCTCTACCAACCCAGAAAACTACTGCCTCTCATGCACAGCACATAATGTTTAAAGTAATTAGCTAATTGCAAGTGTCTGCAATTTAAAAAAAATATTGTGCACTATTACAATATGCAAGCTAGGGCTTGCGTATTTCCGACAAGGCAGAGCAAGTTGGCATTAATGGGAAGGAAAGAAAGAAAAATCATTTTGTATGCATGAAGAGTTCCCACACTTTTTGAACAATTAATTTAATGACTTGCCCAATGACCTTTCCAGCTGTTCATGATTACTAAAAGGATTTATTTAGAATTAGATTTCTGGCCAGATTTGCATTTGTTTATCAGGTGCCAATTTTCTGACTTAAAGGGGTCATATGATGCGATTTCATTTTTTCCTTTCTCTTTAGAGTGTTACAAGCTCTTGGTGCATAAAGAAGATCTGTAAAGTAACATTTATATTTAGTTCCGTACAAATGACCCTCAACAGACAGACTGAAGCTGCCTGTGGTCAAACATTTCAAGCCAAAGATATATATTCTGTATATTAATTACAGACTTTGCCTGGAAATCACAGGTTTAAAATTCACTAATCTTTTTAGGGTTTCCCTGACTGGAAAGTCTGGCTTTTAGAAAAACCTGACAATCTTTTTAGCCCAAATAATTCGCCCCTAGAATCAACCCCGAGATTGTGTAAAAACCTTCAAGTAAGTCTTCATTGTTCATACACAACAGACTAGTCCTGCACATTTACACAAATGCACATAGTCACGTGGGACTGGCATGGCTCCAATAGTTCTGCTGTTAAGATACTGGTGCCAATAATAGCACAAGCATCCAAATGTACAGTGCATCTATGATGCTTGATTTGACACTAGAGCTACAGGATAACTACTGCATAACTGCCTAATCACAAACACTTTAAGACTCATTTCAACTAATTAAAACAGAATATCATCCAAAGGACAAGGAGGTCACTGTTAAGCTCATTAAAAATGAAACAAAAGGAATAATAATGCATATACATGCATTATTACATATTAAGAATGTATATTTTGCAATCACTAGCCTACTGAATCATAGATAATAGATAAACTAATAGAGAAATGACATGCAAGTACTCGGCTGTACATATATTTCAGATGGCACTTAGAGGTACGTCTACAACATAAAATGTGTATGATCGTACTGATAATTGCACGACAGATCATTACAGTCACAGACCCAATGAATGTAAACAATCATCAGCTGTGCTATAAAAACAGAAGCCCTTCACTGTGTTAACCCACACAAGTGCATGCATTTACGTTTGCAAATGATTATAAACAGGATGGAAATGAGAGGCCAGGGAGGGATGAAATTCCCTGTAATACATACGTGGGATGCGGCAGAGGCGTTAGGATGTCACAGCCATTCAAAAGTACTTAGTGGATCCTCGGACGCGGCTGAATCCGGTGTTGATGTTCGCTGCTCTTCGTTAATGTATTTTGTCTCTACCGTTTGACACACTGTCTGTTCACTGACTGTCTGTGTTGGTATTCAAAGCAGGGTGGAAACTGCAGTGAGTAGCAGTCCCTGCCTCTGCAGCTGACATCACAGTTAACCCTTTGCACCCATCTACATTGCTAGCTACGCGACGCGGCAAACAGATATAAGCTCCCATTTACAGTCTATGAAGCTGCCTACTGTATCCGCGCGACGCGTCTTTCAAGGTTGGGGTTGGAGTCACGACGTCGCCACACAGTGGACCAATCAAACACTTTGTTGATGTGACGCGACGCGACAAGAACGCTAGCGTTGGCTATTCGACACCGCAAACAAGCGTCAACTTTACTTGTACACTACAAGGCATTATAGTTATTTTAAGCATCTTTAACATTTAGTTTTAAACGTTTTTTAACGCAATTAACGTTTATTCGAGACTATTTTTGTTGTGGTTGCGTTTTAAATAGCCAATTTTTAAATCAGTCAATGCATCGACTGAAACTGCCTAATTTGCATTTAATTATAATTGCTTACTGAATATGGCATTGCGGTGGTGAAATATGCTGACCATGCATTACATTTAATGCACGCGTTTAATGGATTTTACACGTAAAATTTTGCTCACGTGGCAGCCAGGAAAGCAGCAGCAGCTGAACTGGCATTCGACTGTTTACAAAAGCATAAGTGTGTGTGTCTGTGGCTGCATGTAATCATAGAAGAGATATGTGGGTGCTTGAGTGGTGGTTTACTGATTATTATTCCACCAGTATTGCAAGCTGTCAAAATTGAAAGGTTTTTAATTGCATGTATTTTATGGCTCATACAGCTTGTTCATAATTGCATAAGGGTGAAAAAGAAAAACTGCACAGATGTACAGCAAGTGTATCAGATGGTAACATAACGTATATATATATATATGTGTGTGTGACCCTGGACCACAAAACCAGTCTTAAGTCGCACTATTATATTTGTAGCAATAGCCAAAAATACATTGTATGGGTTAAAATTATAGATTTTTCTTTTATGCCAAAAATCATTAGGATATTAAGTAAAGATCATGTGCCATGAAGATATTTTGTAAATTTCCTACCGTAAATATATCAAAACGTAATTTTTGATTAGTAATCTGCATTGCTAACTTCATTTGGACAACTTTAACGGCGATTTTCTCAATATTTTGATTTTTTTTGCACCCTCAGATTCCAGATTTTCATATAGTTGTATCTCGGCCAAATATTGTCCTATTCTAACAAACCATACATCAATGGAAAGCTTACTCAGCTTATTATTAGAGCTTTCAGATGATGCCCAAATCTGTATTTTGAAAAATTTACACTTATGACTGGTTTTGTGGTGCAGGGTCACATATATTGTTAAGAAATAGTGTGGATGTTGGTTTAGATGCTGTACATGCCACTAAACTATTCTGACATAGCAGTTATTGTAGTGTAATGTACTTGTACTGTGGTAACCCGGGTGTCCTTTGAGAGGAATTTCAGACCTTGTGTTTGTTTGAATGGTTCAGAGGACAATGTCTGTGTGTATGTGTGTGTTTAAACTGCTGGCTTTCTCTGAGAAGGGTGACTAAAGAAAACAAAGGTATGTATGAGTGTGTTTCTCTGAAGTGCTATTCAGGCAATAAACAACCTAAGAGAATTTGGTCATGTTAAAGCAAGGACTGCAGCACTCCGATTGCACAGCGTACTCAGCATGGCATGCACTCTATTTCATCATGATCTGTTGATTTCTCCACTGGTGGGGTTTGTAGGAATCAGAGAATATGATTTTGCTTTCACACCTGGCTCGTTGTTTCGGAACCTGGCGCGTTTCCTCCCTTAGCTCGGTTCGTTTGGGCATATGTGAACATGGCAATCGCGCTCGGATCCGCGCCAAAACAATCGGTCCGAGATCGCCTGAACGAGGTGGTCTCGGCTCGATTGAAAACGAACTCTGGAGCGGTTCGGTTGTAGTGAGAAAGCAATGTGACCAGGTGTGAAAGCACTCTATTCAGTGAATTGGGGCCTGTATTTCTGCATCACTTCATTGTATTCCTGACATCTCAGGGCAGAACAGCATGTACCATAGGCAGTAAAACAAGATCCTGCTCAGTTAGTATGATGGATTGGGTTGTAAACAAGTGGTGAAAGTATGTTTGAGAGCATGACATATAACAATGTTCCGCAGATTGTGTGAACATGCTCAAACACACAACATATAATAATAAGGAATTATGACTGTAACCTGATTAAAAAAATCAATAAAATGCAATCAAAATGGTATGATGATTAATTAAATGAATTAATTACATTTATCAATATTTGCTGAAAAAAGCCCCAAAATTAAGATTATTTACTAGACTACCAAATCAATGAATAGACAGTATGATTGCAGACTCTCAAAAACTCAAAAGTGCGAATTCAAACCTGAATTTCTCAGATGGTAGTAAAAATAATTAGTAAATTTTTATTTATACATTTTTTATTTTTTTAAATATATTAAAAAAAAACTTTTTATATTTTTATCACATATTTTTAACAATTAAAGACACTAAATAAACACTTTATATTAGCAGCCCTAATTAAATTAAATAATACTAATAATACTTAATAATTAATAAATTAAATAATACTGATAATACTACAAAATAATACTTTTGGCTTTAAGGCCCCACAACAGTTTAAAGGCCCCCAGCCCAGTTTTTTTTTTCTTTTTCTAAACTTATTATATTCTATGGACATTTTTAGACGATCCCATGAATTAAGTATAAGTGAAATGGTGAAAATGCTCCAAATGTTTACCTAATAAAATATTTTATACTTTGGCATAACAAGAAAAATGTATATTCATTATATTAATTTTACTTTTCCAGGTCTCCAAATCACTCTTAGGCTAGAATATATGAGGCAGGCTTTCCTGGATATATAAGAAGGCATGGGAACCTTGGTTCTTCAAAAGGGAAAGAAGTGACATTTGTAGTTTTTAGCCTATTTTTAAAACTTTATTTATTTATTTTGATAATTCCTTGGTTGAGAACCACTGGACTTAAGAACCTAGCAGGAACACACTGAAAGAACATGAGTGGAGATATCAGACTATATTTGTACCCTCTTGTCTTTTCTGAACCACACCACACAGATTGCAAAAGTGGAAACCGAAGAACAGGCTTGGCTGGAATATCATGCTGATGCCTGTTTATAGTCAATCAAGCTAAAGACCCTGTTTTCAACAAACAGCAAAACAGTTTCCCTGGTCTCAGCACAAGCAGACTCTCGCTCGGGCTGCAGTGGTAGCTTTACATCAGTTATTTCAGCCTTGACGTAGCACTGGCCATACTTAACTGCAAAAAGAGGTTCAATTACATCAATCATTATAAACCTGCATCTTTATACTCCGTTGAAACAACCACAACAACCTAGCATAATTAAAGCTACAGGTGATCAGCATTAGTATTTTCTTCAGAAAACATAAAAGTGTAGTTTGTATTTGTATTTAATTGCACTGTAATGAAACAGAAACAAGGGCTCTTAAAAATCAACCATTCATGAATCATGAATCACAGCCATTAATGGGTTCTTTGATGACCACGGCAGTGATTATTCAGCAACGTACAGCTCCTGACCTTCACTGACTCCTGCTGAACACATATGACTTCTCCAGACATTGCCTGACCTTTAATTAAACATCTTATGTCACCTTTTATTAAAAATACTCTGGTTTAATGATAACATTGTACAGACGTCCAAACACTTTGAGGAATGAATTTGCTCAGAGGTTGAACGCAAACCTGGTCAGTCTATTTGGAAATGCCCATGTAATCTGACACAGTGACGCGCACTCAACGCTCTTTGGTTCTAGGTCACATAACAGGCTGTAGAAGCAGTTCATGGTGTCCCTGCCGATGGACCGTCCCCCAGTTGAGCCTAACGGACATTTGATATGCAGGTGCCAAAAGCTCCTTATTCAGTGGCGGCTGGTCGGGGGAGGCACAGCTTCCCCATAATTTTGAGGTAAAAATGGGGGGAGGACGATTTAATGTTAAAGGGGTCATATGATGCGATTTCAATTTTTCCTTTCTCTTTGGAGTGTTACAAGCTCTTGGTGCATAAAGAAGATCTGTAATGTTGCAAAGACTAAAGTCTCAAATCCAAAGAGATATTCTTTATAAAAGTTAAGAGTCAGCCACGCCTACCTTTCACAATTCATTTCATTTCATGTCTCAGAATGTGTATTTTTTGTTTGTAATTTCACAGTTGTAATACCATAACGTGAAAGCGTCGCTTTTCTATCGCGAATGTGCCGAATCTGCTGATGTAATTACAACCGCTAATGATAGAGAAGGGGAGGGGGAGGGGGAGGCCGGTGGAGAGCTTGAGCTCTCGTGCCTCCGTTGGTAAAAAAAATTAGCCAATCACCATCGAGTGTTCACTTTCAGCGCTGAGGAGTGTTGAGAAAATAACCCTTGCAAGGGAGGCTAGCCTCCCTTCTGATATCAACCAATCATCAAAGAAGATTTACCAAGCTGTCATTCAACAGTATATATACAAATAAAAAAAAAAGGGAAAACGGCCTAAGCTGGATATAGGATACAGCAGTCGGCTTAATGAAATGGCGCAACAGGCAGCTCTCTTAAACACAGACTTTTAAGAAGGGATGGATGTTTGCTTCAAGAGATAGGCCAGGTAAGTGAAATTATATTAACTTGCTGTATGTATGTCGTTTTCTTTACGTTTTCTGACTAAAAGCAACCAAAAAAGCATTTTAAAGTGGTTAAGCAAATTATAATAATAATAATCGGCAGGGATCCCAGACCAATACAATTAGTGTGCCTCCTCTATTTTAAAACCCACGAGCCACCACTGTATTTGATTGGCAACAGATTTACCAAGCTGTCATTCAAACAGTATATATACAAATTAAAGAAATAGGGAAAACAGCCTAAGCTGGATATAGGCTACAGCAGTCTGCTTAATTAAATGGCGCAACAGGCAGCTCTCTTTTAACACAGACTTTTAAGAAGGGATGGATGTTTGCTTCAAGAGATAGGCCAGGTAAGTGAAATTATATTAACTTGCTGTATGTATGTCGTTTTCTTTACGTTTTCTGACTAAAAGCAACCAAAAAGCCATTTTAAAGTGGTTAAGCAAATAATAATAATAATAATAATAATAACAATAATCGGCAGGGATTCCAGACCAATACAATTAGTGTGCCTCCTCTATTTTAAAACCCACGAGCAGCCACCATTTACAGACTAATTAATAAACATCATAATATAATAAATATGCAAATCATAATTCAAGTCCTGTCCATTAGAACATTTCTCTCAAATCCATGCATATTATACACACTTTTGTTATAACATGCTAATAATTCATTCCTGAAATGAGAACCTTATTTGAAAATAACTATTTCAGAACAATCATTCATGCCACAATCAGCACAAAATTACTAAGAATATGCAATGAAACACTAAAGCTATTCGAAAAGCTATAAACCAATTAAATTATGTTTCTATAATATCTATCCCAGACAGACATTTTTCAGTGTTTTAGTCCATCATACTGAATATTAAAGTGACAAATCATGGTGTAGGCCTATTACCCATGTCCAGCTCGTCTCATTTGGGCTGAATCTCTCATTGTATCCTTCCACTTGATCCTCTGCTATCATGATTCCATTATCCACTCGCGTATATGAAATAAGCCTTTACTACAAAGCTGAGACTAGTCTTTATGCAATGCTTGTGCTAACAACTGAGCAGTGAGCTATATACTGGGCTTGGTGTTTTCGTATACTAATTTTACCAAGTGTGTTCTTGGAATGGTGTCCACAGGCGAAACTTGAGAGGCCTGGCATGAAGCGGCCGGTCAGGCCCTCCCTGAGAGAGGGGATTCATTGAATCGTTCATTAAAACAATTCGTTCTAAACACTGATTCATTCATGTAATAGTGCAACTATTCTGTGTTGCTCTGAGACAGGCGACAGTTGATTTCTGCTTTGACTTGGTTTGGAAGTGTTTTTTATTATTAAAAACCTAAGTTACTCAGTATTAACTTCTCGTTTATTGAACTGTAGTATGAAACATTACTACACCTGAAATCATTATTTATTTATTTATTTATTTTTTGAAGCATGATCTTCACTGTTCACTAACATTTGAAGAAATAAAAACTTTATTAGGCACAAAATTGTTGTAGTTTGTGTAAGTGTAAGTAAATTAAGTGTAAGTAAATTATTTTCATACAACAAACAAATATTGAATTGGTTTCAGTTGATTTATAAGTAAAAGTTTTAAGATTAAATATATAATTATGATTGATTTTTATATTTTAACACTGAAAAGTTAAAGTTATTAAAAAGACATTAAGTTACAGTTAGGCTGCAACAACTGTGAGGCTGATAATAATAAGGTTATTTTTAAGCTGTGCATGTTACAGTTCCAGGGACCCGTCAGATCATGTCACATGTCATTTCAGGAGGGGCAGGTTATGATGTTGCTGACTGACCCTTACACCACCAGAGATGGCCAGAATGTACACTTGCAACACGAGTCACCGTTTCCACTTGCTTCAGAGAAGATGACATAAACATTCATACAGATGACAGTGACTGTGTGTGTGTGCTCTTAGTAAACTGTGTATCTAGTGATTAAATTGTGTAACATTTGAATGGCTGAAAATGAAAAGTGGCTAGCACAAATATGCTGTATTTAATGTTAAATACTTCAAGTATAATGGGTAATATTTCAGTTAAGCTCAGCTCAAAGATTGAGTGTACTCAGTAACCTACCGTGGATTAATTCCCAAATGATTTATGATTGAAAGATATGTAGGCCTACGAGTGACACCGATGAATTTAAGTGCAAGCTGCTGTCATGTTTGTGGATGGTCGTAACCAGGATCCACAGAAACATGACACCTGCTGTGGTTGCTGTAAACATTTTGAGTGACACATTGATCCCTTATTAACAGAATGATGAATGGTACATGCTGTTAACTGTTACATAACATGCCTTGAGTACATGCTATGTATGATAAGCAGGTAATTAATGCTCCCATCCTGCCCTACAGAGTATGAGTATGATGCTGAGAAGATGTGTCATAGAAACTGAATTTATCAAAATATTACTGTTAATAAATTCATTTTGTCGAGGCACGAACAACTGATATTTGTGAACTGCAAAGTAAATTTGCAAGCATTATTTTGAAAACATTTGGAACAACCAGTTTACTCACACAATGCCACCAGCAACCATGAGGTTAGTGCCCTCTGCTGGTCATATTTAATACACCAGGCAGCTTGTAAAATCTATTATCGTAAATATTATAAAGAACACTTTTGATTTCTGAGCCAATTAAATCATAACCTTCAGCTCTAATAAAACAATCAGCATCAGCATCTCTACCACCATTATACTTTTTTAACTTGTAAAAAACACATTTTCTATAATTACTGTGTAATATAACAGATCAAAAATCGAAACACTGCCCAATTGAGCTAACAGTTATTTCTATCTACAAGAAAATCAGTAGTAATGGAATATTAGTGTAATTAAGGCAGAGATTAGAGTAAATTAATAATAACAGTTAAGGGGCAGGTATTGAAAGCTTCGTCTACTTACAGCACTGATACTAAAAGTTAATTTTCAAATATGTCTTTATGGACTGAGGACCAAGAGGTTATCTTTAATAAAATGTATAGTCAGTCTGATTAATCAGTCTGAATAAGCTCTTTTGCACTACAAATCATTATATCTGCACTGTTGTTTACTTCACTGGTTTGCACTCTATCTGCCATGTGCCTTGTGCTGCTTTATATATATATTTTTTTACATTTTACCAGATAGATTGTTGAATAGATTTATACTTTCCTTCAGGCGGTAAAAATGTGATTGTTCTGCCCTCTAGTGTTCATAAAGTGGTACAGCGGAGACTGTAGAGATACATAAGTACTTTAATGACATTACCCCCTCATCCACACTCATCACAGAACACGCCAAACACAGCTACAAAAATACTCTTTTCTACAAAATACTTCAATCTGTTCTTTTAACACTTCATAACTGTGCATTAAGCTTACGTTAAAAGATTCGGCTGTGACAGAAAAAACTATTAAAACACAGAAAGATAAAAACAGAAAGGTCACAGTAAATAAATACATTTTAAACAAAGATGTGAGTAAATCTGGTTTTGATGGTGCATCCATATGCAATGAAATAATCTTAGACATTTCCTGTATGATCTTAAAAAGAGAGAGAGAGAGAGAGAGAAAAAAACAACAGCAAGCAAGCAGCAAATTTACAGCACATCCTGTGCATTATATACAGAGCTAATGTTATATATTAGACCGGACAGATGTGATTGAGTCTTCAGGTTTTGAGAGTCATATGTGTTTTCCTGTGAGGAAAAAGAGAGGCTGGTCCTCTTTGGCGTTGGCGGTCTGAAACTCATCGCTGAGACGAAACCTCCACTCCTCCTCCAGTTCCAGCCGAACTACAGTCTGACGTAGAGAGCTGCGGTTAGGACAGATCACACACAGAGTCGCTCCTGGAGCAAAAAAGTTTTCATGTGTTAAATGGACAGACAGATAGATGGATATATTATTTATCTCCCTGGTCTTTACCTTTCAGGAACTGGAACTTTTTAAGGAATCCAGGAGTCACAAAGGAATCACAGAAGTATAAGAGGAGGCCACTGAAGAGCAGACCAGTAGTGCTGAAGTTAATGGAGTGAGGTCTGGAGCTGACAAAACAAACAGTCACCTGGGAACAGACAACAAAACAAAAAAACTATTTAGAGTCATGTGAAACTATGGAGGATAGGTCACACAGTAGCGATACAACAGGTACACTTTAAGGTTCCTTTAAGTACCATGGTATCACCATCTAGTTCCACCAATGCAGGGCTGCAAGATTTGGGAAAAAACCCAAAAACACACACACACACACACACCTCAAAAATGGAAATAAATAAATAAATTAAATAAGCTGTGACTATGATTTCAAATGCAATTAAAAAAAAAAGAGAAAAAAGTAAAAATACATAAATTAATAATAAAACAATAACTACCAAGTGTGTAGTGCTTGTTTGTAGGGCTGCACAATTTAGCCCAAAATCAATATGACTCTAAAATAATAATAATAATAATACAAAATAAAAATAGTAAATAAAATAAATGTTACTATTGTAATATTTCACAGTAAAAAACAAACAAATTAAGTAGAAAAGTTATCATTTTATTTTACAATACAACAACAAAAATTATAGTCCTAATTCTTCATTTTCAAACATTAAACCAACAAGCTTTTATTTTGGCAGAAAACTGCTTAAACAGCTTCACTTTTGTTGACAACAGCGGGTTTATTTGCCACATTGCTTTCCCAAATGCACATTACAAGCCATCCATACCAGCACATGCAGAGATGGAGTTTTGTGATTCTCTGAAACATGCAATGCATCTATTTAATTAAATTGCAGCCTTTGCAATTTGATAATTGCAAAGTAATATTGAGATTTCAGCTTTATTTCAATTAATTGTCCAGCCCTACATCAGTCTACTATGGAATTTTTTAAGGTATTAATAGTCTGTTGAAGTACCTCTGGGCCGAGGTTCAGGTAGCAGTCGACAGAGAGGACTGGGTGGCTGTAGTTTTGGGCGCTGAGGGGGAAGAGGCGATGGCTGGTGTGCTGGAGGTATTTCTCCAGCAGTAGCTGAGCTGGTGTGGCCAGGAACAGGTGCTTGCTGTCTGGAGCACAGATGTACTGAGTAGGCTGGATTGTGGTGGGGACATCGGTCACCTGTGGAGAATTCACAAGAACCATCATTTTAGTAGTTGCATGGAATATGATTGTTTTTACAGATCTATAGAGTAAAACATCAATACAGTTTTGGACGTTGGTTAGAAACTTGCCTTAGTCTTGATGATGAAGGTCCCATATCCACCAATGGCGATCTGCTTCTTCATCACGCTGAAGTTGTTAAACCTGCAGATGAGGAGGCCTGCACTGTGGGCACGCAGGTTGAAGTCCACATCATCACATGTGAAACTATTGTGGAGAGAGTGAGATGTGAATATTTGGACAATAATGGAGAAAAAAACAACCAAAGTAGCTGGTCTTTCTAGAAACTCACCGGTTCTGGTTGTACTGCACATTCTGTGTGAGGTCCACGTTAAGTAGCAGGAAGTCATGTAGGTGTCCACGCGAGAAGGGCTCTTTTTGCCGTCCGGCCCCATCTCCACGACTGGACCACTTCCTCATCCCGCATAAGCCATATTGAGTAATATCTGGAATAGACTCCATGTGCTGAAGAACCTGTTTCAAGGACACATTTCTTTCTGTCCCTGCAGTACCGCTGAAAAACATAGAAATACATTACTTAAAACAGAAGGTCAAAAACAAACAGTGATGGACCAATATTAAAATTATGTTCCTATATTTCCTGACCAATGTCAGTCTTTTATGATGAATGGATAAATTTATTTTTCAGTTTATTTTTAATTTTGTAGTTAATTTAGGTTTTTTAATGTATAAATAATAATATTCATAATAATAGAAATTATACTCACAAAAGAGTAATTTCTAGCTAAAAAATACATTTTACATAATTTGTTTTATTTTAATTTAAGTGTCAACGCACCTTTTTAGATTGGCACCTTTTTAGAAGATGTAGTTAAAAACTGTAGTTAATAATAATAATAATAATAATACTCACAAAAAGTAATTTTTAGCTAAAAAATAAATCAAATAAAAATGAATAAA